GCTAAAATAATTACTCTGCAACATAATTTTCTTGAAAGTTTACCAGCTCAATCTACAAAAGCCTCAACCACAAGTTACCTGGGTGATTGCAGATATAGAAAAAAGATAAATGCATCTTTTTCAATCTATTATTGCAAGCAAAGTATATTTTACGCAGCAAGGCACTCTGAGGAGGTGTCTCACAGCCCTATTCCCTGCACAGGACTCCCAGTAATACATACAGATGCTCAGACCCTGTGTGGCGTAAAGCATCAAAGTTTCCTCAAAAACTACATCAAATTATCACTCAGGTGGATATGCAAATCCTGCAGATCTTAACAGATGATCCAAAATTAAGACAGTTACAGCTTTACACTAGTAGTAACATGAGCACTATCAGAGCACGTACAGTTTTTGATGTCAACTACTGAAGTCAGGACAATTTGACACAAGGCAAAGAAAATCTAATTCTCTTGTCCCGGTGAAAACATCTAAGCGTAATTCAGCTACGGATGGAAAACTAATGATTTAGCAACTGTTTTAAGAATGCAGATGTTATTGTGCCCTAAGAAATGACAGCTACTCACTAAAATTATACACTTCTACATCCACCTTTCCTTAAAAAGCTATTCAAATGCCCTTAAGCTGTCTGGAAGAGAACACAGCATGCACAGTGTTATTATCAACAGCTTATGTCATATGTTCAGATATTTGGCATTTATTCACATACCCACTATATACAGTTCCTGCCAAACAAGCAGTGCCAGGACCACACTACAGACATCTACAGTGGCTGGCCAGTCTCAAGAGACATTCGCAATTGTACCAAGCACCGTAATTTCAGTGGTGTGCATGTACTGAACAGAGGAGCAACACAAAGAATTAAAATGTGATGCCATAATTTTCTAAACCAAGACAAACACAGTTGGCTCCCTCTGGTGCTAAATATAACATAGTGTTACATGCTAAACCACCAGAGAAGCAAGGCAATGACATAATCCAATTATTTTGTACAGTAGGTGACAGACATTCTAGTAGTAAGTGTTACAGCAGCAGATTTCCTCTTACATACAAAATCCTTAAGTCCTTATTCACAGCCTGTATCAACAGCTCTTATATGGAGAAAACGTGACCCACCCCTTTAAGAAGTGCCATTGTGATCCCATGCATGCACACACCCACCCCCCACCCCCCAGGCTCCCTTCCTCATGCCATGTTTTCACTTCCTAAAAATACAGTCTCCATCTCATTTTTTAAGAGCTGACTTAAAAAACAGTTTCAGGCTCTAATTCATTAAACTGGCAGTGATTCCTAGAGTACTTTAAAAAAAAAAAAAAAACGAACCCACTTCTAAACTACCCTTTTGTGCTACTGTATGCATTTATACTTAAAAATATGCATTTGTTATGCCAAACAGACTATATAAATCAAATCAATTTTAGCGAATCTATTACTAAAACTGCTGTTCAACACAGTGTATAGAATAAAAATGAAGTCACTTGTTCTTTTCATGGACAGAAGTGGTTTCTTGGGCTTTTAACATTCTATTCACGGCTTTGAATTTCTAGTGACACACCAAAGCATCCAAGTATGATGATTTACATTGTAAGCATCATTCCTTGAATTGTTTTTAATGACTATTTGAAACTTGCTTCCAGATATTCCAAACTGTTAAGATTTCTGATGCAAAACAAGGAAGTTTAATAATCTAACCCAGAAGGGCTGGATTTTTGTTGCCTTTTTATCACTGTGTGGAAAGAAGGGAAGGAAGCAGCAGGTTTCTCATTCCTTCTGCCTCTCCTTTCTTTTTTAACAAGATAAAGGTAGAACAGTTTAAGGATACTACCCTGTACAAAGCCTCCATCTCCTACTTATCAGTAGATTTAAACACCATTACACAGAACAAGGTGTGTGGTGCAAGTGATGTTAACCTCTTCCACCTCCTGGATTAGCAGGGCCCCAGTGAAATTCTTAACAAGAGGGTTTAACCTTAAAAAAACTGGGTAATGACCCCGTGGTTGAAAGGGAGGCTGGTGACAAGGGCAAGAGAAGGGTGTTCCTGGTGTGCTGCTTTTCATCCAGCTGTTCCTTGTACCTGTCAGCAGCAAACAGCTGGGTCTGGAGCACCACGCCAGGTGCTACCCTGCTCCTCCAGCTTCCAGACAGCAGGAGGTGAGCCAGTCTCTCGCAAGGTTCCGTCCCCCCAGAATTAAACAAGTCTTCCTGGCATCCTCCAGTTACCAGTCTGTAAATTCGGCATGAAACATGACTTAAGGAGACCACACCTTTTAAAACTCAGCGAGAACCTCAGGTACGAAGGGCCTTCTCAGCAAACACTACCAAACCTCAGGCAACAAAAGAATTCCTCCTCCACTTCCTGAAGGCATAAACGCTGTAATTTACCTACCATCATCTTGAATCTTAATTAAGCACACCTTAGCGAACTTTGTATTTTTATTTTAGGTCACTATTCTCAAATATATCCAATTTCTGAAAAGAAGTTTAAAGTAAGCTCAGGAAGATCAGGAGCTGGAAAACTTAGGTTTACTCCCAAACATCACCTTGACTCTCAGTGCAAGGCCTTGTATCCCCACGTGTAAAATACGGATAATATCAAATTTTTGCTTACTGCTCGAAGAAAGGTCTTATTCACACCTAAGTCTTATTAATACCCCATCTAATAAGAAATAGAACACTAGTGCTTTATAATGGAGTTCTATTTCTAGGATTTTGAACAGCAGCTATACACCATTTTCTCCATGCGTGAAACCAAAAATACTGTCATAGGAAATACTACCTCTTCTTAAAAAAAAAAAAACAAAATGGAAAAAAAAAAATCTGTTGTAAAATCTTTCTAAATATGCAACATTACTTCGTACTGATTTTAAATAACACAAGCTATCTATTTTAAATAATTTTATTTCATTTTAAAGTAATAGCTTTTAAGGCAAATATTTTGCCCAAATGGAGGCTCAATACTCAAAAAAGAGCCTTTTTCTGTGATGTGTTATTATACTGAATTATTAACAACATGCTTAACTGTAACACCAAGTGTTTACTTAAAATAAATGACTGTAACATCACTAAACGGTCTCTGTTTCTCTTCAATAGCTTCTAGAGTGCATTTTGCCTTTTCAGCGGAATGAAAAGGCATCATCTCAACAGACTTCTGGTCAGAAATCCAGAAAGAACTGTAGTCACTATCATTAAGTCACCTGAAAGTATGACTTGTACAAAAAGAACCAGTACACTGCCATCAGACGTCAAGAAACAGCTTTTCCTCCTCAACACAGACAGCAACAAGTAACATTAGGAGGCAACTAGGTTACAAACTGCCACTTCAGAAACTTCACCCTTGACTGCAAACACATTTCCAGCCTGAGAATAACACGACCTGCCTTTTTACTTGCCATTGTGTAACAAGCCTTCATGCAGAGTGCAGAGGATGCTGTGCTCAGTGGAGGCACTGAAGACCGCCTCTATCCGTGCTGCGACAGCTTGGGCCCCGAGAGGCGGGCTGCAGGTTATGCAGCATTGCTACTGATATAGCAAGCCTGAAAAAAAACACTGTAATATAAACATCTTTTAAGCAGCTGGTCAAAAGGCTCTGACAGAGGGGATCTAAGCAACAGTTAAGGATGTTTCCATTTTAATTGGTTATCCCCCTTGGGAGATCACGGCCGCTGCAGGAGACCTGGCAGAGCAGGGTGGTGTGCCTGTGCATCTGCCCCTGCAGCTCATCCATAACTCTGCATAACGTCTTCAGTGGCAGAGACAGGTAAACACAGACCAGCATGCCACATCAAACTGGGTAAGATGATGAAAACCTTCATCACTACAATATCAGCAGAGATACTGGACAGATTGCCAGGGGACAGAAACACCTTAAACCGCTGCAATTCCTTGCTCTATTGCAATAGGGGAAGGAACAGATCTTGCACAAGCACAATTCTCCTGGTGCAAAAGTAAATTATGCCCAAATTGTCTGTCTCCACCCATTAAAAGAGAAGAACTGCTAGATGAAACAAAAACATTCCTAATGGATGCCTGACATTCCTGTGATCAACACACACCTGCTTTACACAGCCCTCCTCATGCTGCAAAGCAAACTATCAATAAGAGGGCACAACTATTTCAAGATCAGAACAACCACTCCTCTTTCAGCCAAGAGCCAAGAGTTTATTATTAAAACACAGACTAAGCCAAATGATAATTATGTCAAATATAAAAATACCCTTCTTAAATGTCCTACATCCAAGCTACAGCTCCTGATGACATCTGCTAATTTAGTGTAAGCTTCATTAAGCTGAAGCCTTTTATTAAAAGCACATTTTTCTCATTAAGGTTTCACTTTATCCAAACAACAAGAACTCCAGAAATTACCTCAGATATACTAGAAACTTAACAGCAGTGAGCCACTGCCAAGGCCCATTTTAGATTGATAGCAATTCTAATAAGAAGCAATGTATTTACTGACATATAGATCCTGGATTTAATATTTTATTACCTGAATAATTGGTGTGAGCATTTGAACAGGATTTTACCACCGTATGTTACTGCAAAGGCCGGTTTCTCAAAGCTCTGTCAACTGGCTTCAAATATATTTAATTTCTATACTTGTCATGGAATAGCAAAGCAGTGCAACGCAGTTTATCGATTTTCATCTTGCAAGTTACTTCCAAGACCCGTACAAGCAGAAAGTTGTCCGACACAAACCCCCAGACTGGTAAGAAGCTAAGATGGGGAAGCTGACAGCAGAACTGGTTGCTGGTCTCCCTTTCCCTTCTACAATGCAGAGGCATTACACCTGTAAGTAAATTTCCAACTCTGTAAAAAGACTTTTAGACAGCAGCCAGTCTTCTCTCTTAGCAAAGATGAGCTCCCACATATTTGCGTGTAAGTATCTGCTGGACTGGAACCTAACAACTTCACTGAGTAAGCCGCCCTCCTGAAAGTCAGTTTCTATATCATAGCTTTTACATCATCTCATCTAATCGATGCAGCCGGAGCAGGTTACTCACCGATCGATCACAATCTCTTTCTGTCTTAGCAGCCCCTCTTTAATTTTCATTAGAGATTCCCAGTTGCTGAAGTCCTGATAGCTGGTAGCTGGGTAACTTTGACGAGACGTTCCGGTCGGAACCTGCATAAAATAATTGTAGAATTAGCCTCCAAAACAGTAAAGGTAAATAATATCCTAGATATTAGGGCATTTACAAAGCAGTTTCTTGTTTCAGAAACTTAGCAGTTATTTTTCAGTTTAGTTCAGATTTGCTTTATATAAAACAACTGGATATATAAACAAGTGTCTTGAAATAAACTTCAGCCCAGTGTCACTGATTTAGAACTTATTTTATAATTTTTTTGCTAAAGAATTCATAGCTCTGAAAGCAGCTTGAGATGAAAAGCTCATTTAGAATTTAAGTACGTAATTAAGACAACACCACAAAATGTTCATATCCTGCTGCAGTTCTTGCAGCACTACAAACAGATAGCTTAATAGCTTTAGATCTACTGGTAACTGCAGATAAAGGTTACCATTTACTCGTTCAACTCCCACCTGTAAGTTTAGCATAAAGAGACATTCCCCTACATATGTGTGCATTTGAAATATAGAATATGAGAATATAAATCTGGTTAAATTCTAACTGTTTCCAAGAATAAAAGTTTCACAAGTTTCAAAAGTTTTACCAGTTTCACAAAAGCCAAGCTATGTGTCTCACAACAAACTAAGGACAACAGTTGAACTGAATATGACCCAGCGACATTACAGTTTGGAGGAAGAGTAAACAACTAACTGGGATGTTTAATCAAGAATATTTTTATACTCAGAATATAAGAAGTATTACAAATATTTGTATCAGGAATTTGCACAGAACTTCTGTGATCAGACCAAGGGATCCCAGCATTAGCTGCCATGAGGTATCATGTAATCTTCCACTTGTTTTTTAATCACTGAAAAAAAGATTTCCCTTTCTATTACCTGGGAGGCATCCTGGACTATGTTGCCTTTTTAGGCTTTTGGAAAAAAGCAGAAGGAAAAAAAGTGAAGATATGGCTAATAAATATATATATATATTTTTTTTTTTTAATTTTAAATAGATGTTAGGATTTTTTTACTTGTATTGCTCTAAAATGTTTAAATTCTAATTTGAAATTACGATAAACTGTATTAAGACCGAGACCTATCATCAAAAATTAAGATTAGGTAAACAGTTGTCAAGCAGTCCATGTTTCTGGTCAAAGCTTTACAGTGAATTGTAACACTGAGTGAAGAGAATCCATTGCCTAAATCCCCATACCATGATGTGCTAAAGTCAGGAACCAACTCCTGACAGCTGTGATCTCTTCTGTAAGTTGGAAAAGTATTTTTCCCCATTCAGTCTAGTTCAGTTCGACCCCTAGGTTGCCCATTCATAAAATGGACAGAAACACATTTTCCCTCTTTTAATTTCTAACTTAAAACCAAGTACAAGATGACAAGATTCACTGGTTCTAAAATCTTTTAAGACTGTCCCCCACACACCCTCCAGCCTCCTACCCCAAGTCCAGTTCATCTGCTTCCGGAAATATTACCTTTACTTAACAAACTGGATAGCTTCAATAGTAAAACTAGTTATCAATGATTTAAAAAAACCTAACAATGCTACACATCAAACACTTTGTGCCAGTTTCTGGCCAAAGACACACTGAAAATGTTGACTGTCTTCCTTGTCGGACAATATCAAGCATCATACCTTTATTGAAAAGGCCATATTGACTGGATAAACAGTGCTTTTGGAGGAAAAGTAAAAGTGAAATAATATTAAAATCGAATTTTCTCTTGAAACAGTTCCCTGATTTATGACTAGCGCTAATATTTCTTATCCTATATCCTATCATGCTTATTCATTATTACATTCCACATGCAATAAAACCACAGAAAACATCTGAAAATTCTCTCAATTGTTGCACCTAAAAAAAGTGCCTCATACAACTGCTTGCTTAAGCATATTTTAAGTCTAAAAGTTTTGTGGGAATAAAATTTGTCACATCTGCAATTACTAGTAAGTCAGTCCATTAAACCTATGCTTGTTATGTTAAAGATGGCACGGTGTTCTACTGGGAGGCCAGAAACGGCAAAGCTAAGTGCTTCTTGGATTGAGGTCTACCACTCACTTGCTAACATTTGCAATCAATTTAACAGTTGTCTTGCTTCATTTTTCATGCACAGTGATCAATATTAACATTAAGAAATACTAAATTGGTGATATCACCTTGGCTTTTTTTTTTTTTTTTAATTGTTGTTTGGGCAGCAGTCTAATAAAACTTAGGAAAGATACCAAGTCATGACTCTTCCTGTAAGTAATACATGTGCAGCATCCTTAAGGATCAATGAATCTAAAATTAATTTTGCCTGGGTCAATCAGTCCAGATCAGATAACTTCAAAGTCATCTTTGGTGCTTACAGAATACCTTAGGATTGTCACATACTGTTCTGTATTACAGTTATCCACATGACTGGCTGAATTAACAGACACCAGCACAAAACTATTTCAGTGAAAAGTCTCTTAGTCACACAAGGCATGTCATGCAGTATAAAGTGACAACATCAGGAACTATCACTGTAATTTGAGTCATGAATTTTTCTCCTTTGCTTCTCCGAACACAGTGCTGAAGAATTCTTTTCTGTATCTACCTCAATAACATTATGCTACAGTCAGAAAAAGGAGAAAGAAGTAGTCCTTAATGCAGCTCGGATTAGATTCTTACTTTTCAGAGCCGGAAATTCCATCTCTACCCAAAAGAAACAATCCAAAAGGATCTGACATGATAAATGGGAAATACATGGCTTTATAAATGCAAATCAACCCATTTATTGAGCAAGGTGAATTTTGTCTTTAAGACTAAACTATAAAAATGAAGAGATTAAAAGACAACTATTTAAGTATGAACCCGTAGTAACTGAAAACATTTTGGAAGCCATCAGTGGTTTTGCTGTCAAAATTCTCCAAAGGAAGCCCCTTACTTCAATCTAGCACCTTAAGAAATTAGAAAGAAACTCTTCAAACTTCAGTACAGTAAGTGACTATACAAGAAGTGAATTAAATATTAAGGCTGCTGAAAAGTAAGGCAATGAGTTTTTCGAGGTTAAGAACAGAGTAATATTTTGTCAGTTAGATGCTAATGATAGTGTGTCTTTTGAAACAAAAAAATAAAAATCTAATACATAAGGCCTCCTCAGCTGACTGACTGAGATGCTTCTGGCTTTGGAAAACTTCTAATCTTATGGAGTATATACATACATAACAACAAATAAAATATTTCGTATCATAACTGTGTGCTTCAATGCTTCAAACTGACACTCTGAATAGATAAAAACAACAAAAAATATTTTTGTTTCTGATATCATGTTTCAGCCAACTTAAAAAAGAAAAGAATATGCTAAAAATACTTCTTAGAACTTCCCAAAATAACAAGACACTTCACTCATTTATGAGCACATGGTGTTGACTATTCCAAACAGCTTTCTAGCTGCTTTGAATGGTGTGGTAACACGCAGGTGGTCCACTTACATTCGAGTATTTTGTCTCCTAAGGACATCAAACCAGATAGCAAGAGCAAGATACACTTTTAGGACTCATATACAGAAAGCCATCCACAACTCCAAGTCCTCAACTTGAATCCTCCACAACTACAAAATAAAATACCAGCTTGAAACACACAGCATTCTTTTCCATCTGCTCTAGAAAATACAACTATTTTTGTCGCCTGGCACCTCTTCCAAGAGTATCAGCCTTGGACTGGGAACATCTGTTCAGTTAAAACAGTATCCTTTGCACAGTGGCATCCAAAGGTCCCAACTAACTTGTTTTTTGGCAAGGGCTTGGCCTTGACTTTCAGGACCTGGCAAGCCTTCAGGTCACTGCTGAGGCACAGCTAGCTGCTGGGGGAAAAAAAGAAAATAAAAAAATCTTTGCTGTACTAGCCTATATGCAAATATTTATTGCTGGAACACACATTGCTGACTGATTCCATCATGTTTCTTAACAGTGGGAAAATAATTTTTCTCTGGACTAGAGGCTAACAACATTCGGACAATTTAGGCCAATAACGGCTGGGTTTTTAATTGTGCTAATTAAAATTATCTTCTCCAAACATGCTCATAGTTTCCGCCTGAAGCAGTTCGGTGTCTCAGCACAGAAGCAACACAGCATTCGTGTAACATGCTGTATCGCAAAATAAAGGTGGAGTCCAAAAATATCAAAATGATAGCTAATTTCAAAAAGAGCAATGGATTTTAAAGTCTTGGGGTTTGGTTGGTTGGTTGGTTTGTTTGTTTTCTGAAAGTTGCAGTTTAAATAATTTCGCACTGTCTGTACTACAACTGTAAAGTTTTCACAGCCCATTACTAAGAGCATAACTTCGGGCACTCTGCTAGCCAAGTGACTGATCCCTTTTGGCCAACTGCTTGCGCTGCCCTACGCTATCATAAACTCCCCCTCTGTAGAGATCATTCCTCTCTTGCTGCATTTTACAGGCATTCATTATTCAGGAGAAAGAGAACTCCTTGCATCCACAGTTAAGCCAAGGCAAAGAATCAGCACAACCAAGGTCAGCACGAGCACAAATGGTTCCTTCTGTTTGACTGACAGTGAAGGAAACAAACACCAGTGTCCCCCCGGACTGTGCCTCAGGAACACGGCCCTACCACCTCACTGGGCGACGAGGGAGAAACAAAATATGGATGTGGCAGCAGCAAGCCCAAATGCGCTATTACCACAGAAACAACTCTTGCTCTTTGCTCCCCTGTGATGGGATGAGGATTAGACCTGTAAGAGCAGAGCAGCAGTCGCTGATGAGCTCTGCAACTGCTCCCTGCCCTGGGCAAGGAAAGGAGGATTTACCCATCCCTCTCTCCCCACCCGGGGTTTCTCCCTAACATCAGGCAGTGTTTCACCTCACAACAGCTCCCTTAATTCAGACAATCCCCGAGGATCATCCATCTTCTTGCCAGCAAAACGTGACAGGGCTAGTGGCTCTCATGCAGGAAAAGCGAGAGGAGGTTGCAATCATGGAATCAGGCCCTAATTTTAAATCACTTTAAAAGCAAGGTAAGGAATCATTTCTATAGAACGTGGCTGTGCCTTGCTGGAATGTACC